AAGGCTTCTAATTACTCTGCCTAAAAGAAAACAAAACTTCGTGTCAGTAACCGGGATTAACATTTTAAATGTAACGGTTGAAATAACAAACGACATATCTTCTACATTATATCTACATTATATCTTCTACATTTTTGTTTCTTTCTTTTCTACTTTATATAAAAATTGTTATAATTCATATTACGTTTATTTTGTCATACATGTACAAGCATTGGAAGTATTTATAAACGAACGGATCTTACGATAGTCAAGCACTTTCTCCAGTAATAAAATTCGTCTCTGATGGCGTTCTTTGAAGTAAATTCCTATCATATATTAGCACATCAATTTGTCGCCTTAACTCTCAGATTCTATAGATATCAATAAATTCCGACATATTTCCGGCATCTAGTTACTTAGGATGAATTAATACAAACACCAAAAATATTTGCATAATTTGGGATTGACTTAATAGGTCTGCTGCTCATTTCACTTGCACTTTCTTTCCACTCGCTTCGAAACATCATTCTTTATTTAACATACTGTATATGCATTACCCTAATTTACTCTGAGCCGAAATTTTAGTGAAACATTTATTTTAAAAAAACAGCGTTGGGGAAAAGCGTTGGGGAAAAGGTACTTGTTTAAATTTTTATTATAAAAAATGGATTCTGAATTTGTTAAAGTATGAGTATCAAATAAAATACGACGAAATAAAGAAGAAGAAGAAGAAGAAGGAAATTACATCAGTTCTCAATATTATAACAGTATATTAATAAATTACTTAATAACTTCTACAAACAAGATTAAAGCCAAATTAAAATATCCGTATTATCGAAAAACAACATTAATACTAGAAGGTCTTAAATTCTTCAAATAAGGTTAAAGATACTTAATATCTAAACTAAAGTAATAATTTTTTAAAAATCTATAAATTGAACAAATTGAAATTAATTTTGCATTGCAATGTTTCATAAGATATTTCAAGCATATTCCGCATTTTATTTTAAAAGTCCGTGATTAAAATTCGTCTTAAATGATAATCTGATCAGAGACGATTACATATTATATATTTCCACGATATCGTCATTACATGCAATATTTCATCTTGCCTACTCAGTAAAACCTACTTGTTTTAAGATATATTATATGTATATATACGCTACAGTAATGATAAACCAATGATCAAAAAATATATTGGAGAATATTGAATGACGTCATTTAACTTAGGTGTGGATTTCTGGAATGAGCGTGCAAACAAATTTCCCTATTTGTTATTCTCTTGCCTACGCTTCCATTCGAGTGACTTTCACAGATATCGAAGTACCTCATAAAGAAGAACAAAAGGGAAATTATATTATCAATTTTCAAAATTATAACATTATATTAATAAATTATTCAATAACACACTTCTACAAATAGAATTAAAGTCAAATTAAAATATCCACATTATCGAAAAACAACACATACATGATATACTAGAAGTTCTTAAATTCTTCAAATAAGATTAAAGATACCCAAACAAAAATGATTTGCAAAGATTCTTGTGAATTCAACGAATCGAAATTAATTACATAATACAAAATAATCTAATTTAATGTAATAGCTTATCTCTATATGTTTTAGATTATGAATCTAATCCCATTCTAATCTAAAATAATGTACTTATCGCAAGTTTACGTCTTCAGCCACTCCAAAAAGGTTACCTTTAGTTCTACATATTTGTAACAGTAAAGCAAGCAGGAAACGAGTGCACTCTAAACGACATATAAATATTCATATCAATCCGCTGACATCTTGAGGAACTGCCTTACGCCAACGGCATGTGAAAAGCATAGCTGCCATTGAAATGCAACAAACATGCTTGAAGAGCATTTTTTGTGTCAAATCTCAATGTCACGTCTTTCTCATATTATACTTGCCATATAAGATATCCCATATTTAACAAGGTTTACGTTTGGCCTTTTAAAGATTCTTTCGTTAATGAAAATTTGTCTTTCTTCCAACAAAAGCATTGAATGCGTTTCAAGATCTTGAAATTATTAACGATTGAAAGAGGGAACTTAATTCAAAATAAACTTCAGAAACATAAACAAACGATAAATCCTTTTCAATTTCCAAGTAGGCGTGAATACGTATTGCCTATTCTGTTTTGCCAAGAGGTATTCAACCTCTTTTTTTTTTAAACTTTTCCAGAAATAATTTCATATAATTCAAAAAGTACGGGAAATACATAATAAAACATTTTTTTTAATAGAAAGATTTAACGTTTTAATTATTTTCAAGCTCATTTTCACTCTTAAATCAGGAACATCCTACACATTTGGTAGACACTGATATAATCTACAAATATGCTAGAAGGTGAACCACAACACAAATCATTCTATAATCAGAAAACTTTATGCAACATAGACAAAATTAGTTTTCTAACAGATTGTCTCTCAAAAAAGACATACATATAATAAGACATGTCATGTAGTAAAAATTTAAAATTTTATTCAGTATAACATGACTCTTCGTTATATTATCATCACTAAAATTATATTTAAACTCAGTTCTTTTTATATAAATCTTTTTATAATTTATTAAAAACTTAGGAGATATTTTCATTAAACTGTATTCAGATTTAAATAAACATCTACGAATAATATTACATATACATAATTATGTATATATATACATATTGTATACATAAAATTATGTACTAATATACAGGGTGTTTCCAAATTAAATGGC